CATTCTTTTATCATGATTTTCAGTAACATTTAATCCTGAGGTTTGGTTTATTTGTTCGTGTTGCTTGATATTATCCATTCTTCTGTCATGATTTTCAGTAACATTTAATCCTGAGGTTTGGTTTACTTGTTCGTGTTGCTTGATATTATCCATTCTTCTATCATGATTTTCAGTAACATTTAATCCTGAGATTTGGTTTTTAGAATATCTCGTTTGGTTTACTTGTTCGTGTTGCTTGATATTATCCATTCTTCTATCATGATTTTCAGTAAAATTTAATCCCGAGGTTTGGTTTATATTATTTTGTATTTCACTTTTTCGATATTTAACATCTTCTACTATTCTCCTATCTAGATTATTCGATATCCCATCATTTCTGGTAATCGGTATAGCTTTAGTAGGAATAATGCGTGCAGGAAAGATTACTTTCATATTTATATTTTCTTCATTGGCTTCACAAAGATTAGAACCAATTACTGGAAATGCACAAACATCAACACATATCTCTTCTAGATCACCACTGTCTATAGATGCTTCCATCATAATGGTGCTAATAGGTGACATGTTATCAAAAAATTTCCAATCGGCAACAGGTTCTTGGACTTTTAATCTAAATAAAAATATATTGATAACTTGTCTAATAATTGGTTTGATCATAGCTTTATATTCTAAGAGTTTTTCTGGCTTAGTAATTGTTCGATAACTATCCATTAATTCTGAAATTTCGGATTCTAATTTTACAATTAAAGGATGTTCTTTATCTCCTTTCATGTTAGAAAATCCACGATTACCAAGAACGCCGTAAATTTGTTGACGTAATTTTTTCGAAATAGCTACGCTAACTGCATCAGTTCCTGATCGATATTCAGGAATTGATTCCGTTAATCTTAACAACTGCTCTGTTGTCTTAATTAATTTCATTTCTAAACTTTGATCACCATTTTCGCCATCTATAATATTTTCTTGAAGATTCAAGTATTCGTTAGATCTTTTAATTATAGTCTCGATCACTTGACGTTCTAGTAGACCAGAGATCAGGTTTTTATTGCTTTTAATATCACCAAAGATAAAACAACCATATTTTTTCGATAGTTCAATAACTTCTGGCTCATTAATATCAGCACCTCTTTTGAGACCACAAAACTTGTCTAAATCATTATGTAAATCATTAATATCCTTTTTAAGTTGACCAGGATTATCTGAGTCTTGATCACCTAAATGAAAACTTGTTGCATCACCTAAAGCATATTGATATTTGAAAACTTCTTTTTTTAAATCTTCGTTAGTTTTTTGTAAATCATGTATTAAATTTAAATTTGTCTCCTCATTATTTTTATGTTTTGCGTTGAGATGTTTATATTTTGTTACTAGGTCATTATATTTTTTTATGAGGTCATTATGATTTGCGTCTAGAAGTTTATAATCTTTAGTGAGGTTTTGATACTTTGAGTTAAGGGCTA